ACTGAAATCGGAGTCTGGGGAACAAGGGGTGTGCTTGCTTGTAGCATCTCTGTTTGGAGAAACGTGGGCACCTCTGACTCCCACCAGCTCAGCGCAGTGACAGCATTATCCCTGCAGAGAGAAAAGGGTTATTGAAGGTGGGAGCTTTTTCCCTGTTACAGTGTGGGGCTCACTGCTGTGGGCAGCACAATGGAATAGGGGACAGGTTTTTCTGCACAGATAAATTAATTTCCTATATTATGAAAAACCTGCATTCAGCTCACCTTCTGTGCTATATACACTAGTGCACAGTTAGCTAGCTGAATGACAGGGTATCTTCCTCTTTCATCAGTAGTTACACTATTTCACTATAGTAATTAGAGCTCATAACACTACATAATTTGGCCCCACCACAAAACATAGGCCAGCAGATTAGATTGGCCTTAGTCACTAGCAGATCGTGTGAGCTGAAAAAATTACAGGAAAGTTTATAGCAAGACAATAGCAAGAAATTAACGCAAATCTTAGATTTCCCAATACCCACAAAATCTCAGGAGAAGAAAAGATGACCGTTTTAGATTCAGGTATCAGAGCTCAGTAAGTGTTGAAATATTAGTAGGACATCGGAGATTTGTCCAGATGGCTGGGGGCAGAGGCCAGCTAAGTGTGCCTGAAACCCTGCAACTTAAACACAATAAGTGGGGCTTTGGGATGGGTCTGTGTTTCTTAGAGGACTTTAGAGAAAAACCTTTCCTTCATTTTGACAATTAAAAAAACTCAAACCCTGAACAAAAAAACCCCGACAAGTGCAGGGTAATGAACAGCAGCAGCATAGCTTATTCCCTCACATGTGACACTGAATACAGGATTTGCTATTACTGACACAAGCAACAATTCCTTATTGACCATGTGTGTAGCAGGTTGGGTTAAATCCCTTGGAGCTGGTGGTGGTAGCAGCTGCTTCCACTCAGGATCACTGTAAAGAAGTGAGTTACAATGTGTAATAAAAGAGCTAAAATGGTGTTTACCTCCTCCCCAAATGCTGGCATGCATTGTCAGAGGTGCCCTTTCCATGCCATACACCCAGGAGTGTGTGCTGCATTTAAGTAGTACTGGCGGCGTGGGCAGGGTGGACTGGGAGGTATGGTGGGCCCATATGGCAATGACACCATAATTCATTTCTGTGTAGGAAGGCACATGTGCAGGCTCACATGGTCAGATGGGTTTCACTGTCAAATGTTTTGTGGGGATGCCTGTATTTGAGAGTCCAGCAGCTTTGAGGTGGGAAGCAGCAAGACTGCACCAAGCACAGGGTTAGTGTGTGCAGGGACATGTACACGCATGCATCTCAGGGAAAGGCCACACAGTATACATCCTTCTGGGCTCTGTGTCCTTCTGAGCTCTGTGATGGCTGGAAGAGGCTTGGAGCAGTGACACGGGAGCTTGGGATTTGAAGACTACTTGTCTTTTGTATCTATACTCATCTGTTACCTTGGCAGGTTAGAGCTCACTCTTTTTCTGGCTTGATTGTTATGTATATGAATTGAGCTGAATCCTAGCCTCAGCTGAAACCAGGACAGTGACCCAGTCATTTTTTTGATTCTCGTTGCTGCTGAAAAGCAAGTAAAAATAGCCTAGCCTATTGTATAAAGCTTCAGATCTGGTCTCATGCTTCAGGACCATGTCTGTGTTGCATTCAGAAAGGTGACTGCAGGAGCAGCAGCACTAAAGCTGAAGACTAGTGGCCTCTGTATTTACTCAGGCAGGTTGCCAGCACTGACATTCACAACATTGCATTAAAATGGACACCGGTCAGGCTTGGTTAGTGCTGACTTGGATATTTCTGTGTGAATCACGAGATTCTGGGTGACTGGGGCCATTGACAAAGCAACTTAATTGGGTCCCTCTGCAAGAAGGAGTTTGTTCCCTAGCTGGACACTTTCTGCTGGAAATACCTTCCCTAGCCTGTCCACTTGGATGAACACCTGGCACCACCTTGGGAGATGACATCCCAGATGGTGATGTGGGGCAAAAGACAGTTTTCAAAGTATCCAGTGATCAAATCATGTTGCATTACTGTGTAAAACTGTCAGCCTCCAGCAGAGCACATGGACAAAGGAAGAAGAGATGAGGTATACAAAGAAAAATTCCAGCATTGTCCTGTTCTGCAAACAGTGAAGAGCAAATTTTCCCTCTTCATGGTGGGGGGGATGCCAAGCAATTCATTACCTGGAAGACAGTTATCTGAACTACTCAACAAACTCTCAAGAATTCTGACTTTCTTTGTGTTTATGTATTTACTAAAAAATATTGTATTTATTAAAAGTCACTCTGCAAACAATTTGCAAAGAGAAAAAAGGTAGCTAGATTAATGAGCACACTAGCACACGTTGTCTTTGTGCACTGAATTTCATGAACCAACTTCCGTGGAAAAGGTAAGCTTGTACACAAATCTTTGTGGGAACAGAGCTTTGCCTGCAACACCTCAAAGCCAGGGACTGCTTCTCATAATTACTTGTGTAGGCTGCTGGAACCTCATCTTGGCGGAGGCCTTGGGGCATGACTACAAATAACAACAGCTGTAAATAACAATTAGCTGTCAACTGTATGCATCTCAGCTTTGTTAGAAAAAAAAGCCCCAACACCCAACAAACAGCAAACCTGTAACTACTGGGAGTAAAAATGAAAGGAACATTTTGCTTTTATAAGGTAAACCTGGAAAATGCTTGGAATCAAAGAAAATTTGGTGTCACTAGTACTTAATTTCCACTGATTTCACTCTATACAGAAACTTCTTTCCATAATGGACACAGATGATCACTAGCTTCTCATATATATAGTTTGTTAGCTGTATGGCATGTGTAGTTGCAGAACAAAATAACTCCATCTCGTGCACATGTATCATCTCTACTCCCATTTATGATGTAAATTTACATCCTTTCAGTTTTGAGCAGTGTAGCAGAGGAAAATGGGTTATGGGCCCACCAGTCCTCCCAGTCCACCCTGTCGACACTGCTAGCCCTACCTGTAAAGCAGAGGAAATGAGAGGTTGGGAGCAGTTCGGTAATCCTAAAAATGCAAAGGCATTATTAATATTTAACAACCATCGCTGTTTCATGTGATTTCTAAATGCTGTAACTGGCAAGCAAAAGGTAAAGATTAATTTTTGGACTGGTACCGGATAGTGCAGTTTCAAAGTCCTTGGAACACAGCCCAGACAAGAATCCAGTGATGTAGAGGTCTTTGGTCAAGTCCCTCCATGGAGACAATTTTACCCTAAAAGACCAAGTTGCATTTCTATGGAGCGGATTAATTGGATGTGATTGGACTTAAATAAAACAAAAGAAATATTTCTAAGTTCAGCCATAAGTCAGGATTTCTCTGTTCCCTTGTAGGATTATTTTTGTTTCATTGTTGTCTTGTTGTTTTGCTTTGTTGTTGTTGCTAGCTCCAGAATTTCTGGAAGATCTTTGACACAAGTTTGGTGAGTGCTTCTGCCTTTATTCATCTTCAGAGGAACACTTGTCTAGGGGTCTTTGCTCCTAATCAGCTGTTGCATGTCCCCAAAGTAACACTGCCATTATGACGCCATGCCAAACCATTGGGATTCACACATGCATAGGTTGGCCAGCTTTACTCCATTTGCTCCTCAGAGGAAACACTGCCGAACTATAGACGTTAATTGCAGAAATGACTGTTATGAAGTGGTTGAAACCCAGAGGTTCAGCATGTAAAGGAAATTCCAGAGATCTCACAGAACCTTTTATGGTGATATGTTACGACTGCACATTCCCTTTCCTCAAACCATACCTTTTAGTGTAAAGCTCACATCCCGTCTGCTGATAACATGATGAAAAGTATCTGGAGTCCTGTTCCCAGGGCATCATCATCAATTAGATTCTCCCCAGCCTGTTTATTCGTCTTTTTCTCTTCTGCTCATACAGATGTTACCCCCACATCAGCCTTTCCACAGTGGCAAGACTGATTGCAAACACTCTTCATATAAACATTTATGCTGGAAAAACAGGGAGTACAAATGACGTGGCATTTTTTGAAAAAGATTATGTGATGAAGACTGTTGTGCTTAGGATGGGGCATGACTGTGTTATTCAGGAGACTGCCTCAGGTCCGATGCTCCTCTAAAGCTTCCTAGAAAATGAGCTCTGATTTTCAGTCTTTCACTTTAGGCAGAGACCTGGTGAATAATAAGATATTTCTGAAGGATTCATAATGTCAGTACTCAGCAGTTGTATTTCCCTTGGGCTACGGCAAGCCTCTACCCATGCCTCTGGGCTACTATTGATGTTGAAATTAAATGGTCCTTTTCTCCCAGGGTATAAATGTCACTCCCACTGTGGATATTAATTTTTTTTTTGGGGGTCTGTTTCCAGGACAAGGCTCTGCTTTTTCAGTGTGCTGCAGCAGTTCTCAAACACCAATCATCTCCTTTGCAAAGAAGGACACTTTCAGCCCCCAGTGCCAACCTCTAGCAAATACATCTGTTAAGAAAAGAAATGCAGGGCAACAGGTGGCATATTGCAGCCAATCATGAAAGGTTATAATAAGACGGAGGCAGAGTTGGGGAGAGACAGAGGAGAAAAAATGAAAAGAAGAGGGACAAAGCTGAAGGAAAATCCACTGGCAAGTATTTTTTCCACCACTGCACTTCCATGGTGCTGAAATAAAGACTTGGTGACTTTGCAGTGCTGGGATAGGGTACTGCCTTGGAAATGCATTTTCCCATTGTACTCCTGTCTGTTTGCTTAGAAGGAATTCAGAAGGGATTTGCTTTCTCTTGTTTCACGAGCCCCACGCTTTCACACTGACCAAAGTGGATACGCCCCAGCTGGCCATGTCCATCACTGCTGCCGGGTGGGAGAATTCCTGATTATACTTAGATCCTGCAGACCCCGCTCCGTCATTAGCAGAGAAGCACTGCTCGCACACCACCGTCCGAAATGCAGCCGGCTGGGAGATCCACACGCCTTGCCTGAAGGAGTCAGATGCCTCCTGGATCAAACATGAATGACCTGCTGAAGGTCCCCCTGGTGCACGTCCTCACTCTGGCAGCCTTCAGCTTGGCCACAATGCCCCTGAAAGGTTTGTTCAGAGGGGCTTTTGCCCTGTTCTGCTTCTGCCACTTGCTGAAGGAGGTTTTACAAAGCGGAAGAAGTCTCTGGTAATGGTGGGGTGGGTGGTGCAGCAGCATTCCTGAAAAGGATGAAAATGTGCTGCTTTCAGTGGTCATGTCACTTTTTAAAAGGATAGCAGTGAAAATAATCTCATATTTGTATCTGGGACTGAAGGTTCTTTGTCTGGGAAGAGCATGTAGTCCTGTTGTAATGGGCAGGGGAGACCTTTGGAGTCAGCCTGAGTGGGATGGACATTTGTCATGTCAAAGGAAGCTTACAGATTTTAATGGCTGGTAGCACCCACTGCTGCAGAGTCCAAGATTTGTGGTGTTCCACATGCCTGTGTATGCTTATAAACATATAGATATCAAAGAAGAAGTAAATAGCTATAATGTCTTTACAGAGCATACATATATAAATACAAATATGCATGGTTTGTATTGCATACCGCATAAAAGTTATTATATCTTCTTCCTCTGTTGTGTGCATGCATAGACACAGACACAGGCACACATACTGCTGCATGGTGATTGTCAGGAGCCATTCAAACTGTATCAGAAATGTTGCAGTTTCAGGAAAACAAAATAAAAAAACTTCAAGGAGGATGCCGGTAGTCACCTGTCAGGCCAACATTGTTGGTCTTGCAGGGCTGTGCTCTTACCATTGTTAGTCAGGTTGGCCTCAAAATGGAAAGAAAAAGAGGTCAATTTTTTAGAAAAAGTTCTTAAATAAATGTGTTAATTTTTTCCTAAGGCAATAAAGTAAGTTGGTGAAGGCTGGTCTTTTTGAAAGCTGTGGTAAGACAGGATTGGAGAGGCAAGAAAAGTGAAGAGGAAAGGGATTGATTTTTTGCTGGTGGCGTAGTGCAACAAAGAGATACACATCCTTTCCTAAAACACCGCAAGTAGCTGAATTGCCTTGTTCCCCAGGAAAGGCTGAAACTACAGCCCAGTGATGCCCTATAGGGGTTGTGCACCACGAGCTGGAAACATGATTGAGCAGCTTTTGACTAGAGGAGCTGCAGTATCTCTGGGCATCTGCAGTGCTGCAGGGCAGACTAGCTCTGTTATATCCTTTGTTTTGTTTGCCTGGCTTGTCTTGTTTCCAAAGTGGGAATCCAAAACCAAAGCCAAGCAACTTGGGAGCTTCTGGTGGGCTGGGGATAGAAGGGGATTTGGCTTTCTCATGGCCCCGTGACTGGCCTTGGGTCATTTTGCTATCTTGGAAACTATAGCTGACGTCCAGAAAAATGGTACCTGTGTGGCTTTAGAGATATGTAAGTTAATTGATTTTTCAATGCTATTTAAAGACATAGGGCTACCTAAAAAATGTCAGAGAGACTCAATGGGTGTGCACAGAAAGGTCTGAGGCCATTTCTATGATAAATATATCCACATGTTTAGATTTTATTTGCCCATGTTAAAATCTAGTAATGAAGGCATGGTAAGTGTTGATTGCTTTCCTGAGAGAACACAGGCTGACACCCACACCTGACTCTTTTGGGTGGCTTTTAGAAGCAGGCACCGGCTCAGCCATTTTGGGGCTCCCTCTTTGCCTCATGACAAAATGGCGGTGCGCTCCACCACCCACTATCCCCTGCAGACACACCGCATGTTCCTGGCCTCCTGCCCCTCTGCCCCCTCGCCCCAGCTGCAGGAGCACTGCTTTCATCTCCCTGCTGGCCCAGCACTCAGTTTTAACATCAGAAAGGTAAAAAAAGAGCATATGAGAAAATTACACACCGCTGTTACTCTTTGAGGATGTAGAATTTGGGAAGATGGCTATAAAAAAAAAGATGCCCTTCTACTTTTTTTTACCATAGGTAAAGTACTGTTGGTTCGGACAGTATTTTCTATGAGTATGGGGCTTGATTCTGCCTTAATTGTCGCATGCTGGCTTTCAGGAGGTGGCAGCTCAGACCGCACGTAGGCAATAAGGCTAAAGATAATTTTGTCATACATTGAATTAAAGAGATACCATGAAAGTACTTAACTGTTGCTAGTGAATTTATTTAATAAATAAACTGGCTGTTGGTACAAATCTAACTTTGCTCTTCGTGAGAATGGCCATGCTTATCATGACAACACAGTTATAAAGCCCGTTGCTTTGAATTTTAACTGCTGTAAAAATTTACGTTTCTCAAGATTAAAAAAACATCCTTCCAGAGATCAAGGCATGCGGACAAAAGCAATAAAAACATGCTATATAAAATTAGGTTGTAAAACTCCATTTCAGACAGGCTTAATGCTATCAAAACCCAATAAACTCTGTCACGAAATAGCAATGTCCCATTTGAAGTAGGCAGGATAGCCATCAGTGGAGGGGTCATTGTCCTAAGACAACCTTTAGTAACAGAGAAATTTATGCTTTATGAAAATCTTCCATTTGGTTTCACTGGCATTGGATTCATCTGTGGTGGCATACAAATGATGACTTCTATCTGGCGTGACCCAAAATGACCCTATAAACTGAAGCTTGATACAATTTGAAGCAGTGATCTTAAACAATCAATCTGACACAGACGTTTTTTAACTAATGTTTAGTTAATATAATCTTTACTGCTACCTTAGCTGTAGTTTTAAGATCTTTTTATGTAAAGTATAGGCATTACCAATTATGCAATCTGAAGTTTTATAATCTAGAAATATTATTGAGGCAGATTAATTCTAATGACATTTCAAAAGCATTAGGACTTTACATAAACCTGATAGCGGAAGCCAATCCTTTCTTCCTCTAGCTTCATTCCAGCTGAACTCCAATAACATTCTAATTTTCACTCCTATGTAAATTCAAAGAGCACTAAGGTAAAGACTTTTTATTATTCTCAGGCACTTAAATTGGAGTGTTTTGTATTTTGTATTTTGCCTTTTTTTTTTTTTTTTTTTTTAGGAGGGGTAATATTAATGTAGTTTATTTTTTGCTTGCATTTAAATCTTTTTGTACTGATGAGGGCCAGCAGATACTGTGCAGGAAGGATTGTCTTGTGAAAAGACATGCAGTGTGCCAGATACTCCTACAGTCAGCGAGGAGCAGGAAGTTTCCTGTATCCACTGTACATTTTCAAGGTGCTGTTTCAGGAACATGGTATGAAACTAGTTTATCTCAGCACAGCTGCCAATGAAATCCAGTAAAACAAATATTGGATGTGTGTCCCTCACAGCCATAGATTAAAAGTAATTCAGGCGTCTTTGGAGGCAATGGCTGCAATGCATACCATGCACAGGGGAAGCGATTCACTACACATATCCTTTGATCCCTTCCAGACGTGCTTCCAGTCTTTTACCAGGGTGACAAAAAATGTTTCTAAAGATACATTCAAATAATGTATGATGACAGGTCTGTGATAATAAGCACCAGACACAGCTATTAGACTTCTAACCCTGGTGCTACTTGGTTAGAATAGGTGAGAAAAAAATATGTGCTAGTCATGCCACAACTCTGGAAGACTTGAAGAGCCTTTACAAGCCTAGGTTTGAAAAGCATAGTGCTATATAACAGTTTTGTTCTTTTAAAAAGAGAGAAATAGTTGAGCGGAACAAATCTCGTATTAATGACACAGAAGCCCAAATCTCATGCATCATGTTAATAAGGAGGCACTATGCCCACCCCAGGGGCAGGTCAGCTAAGCTTCCATTTGTGTGCTGTTCCTTGCACTTCCAGCCCATGCAATGCCATCCTTGTAGCAGGGGGACAGCCTCACCTCTGTCCTCGCAGTATGCCACCGGGTGCCATGCACCTTGGGGGAGAGGAGGGTTAGAAACAAGGGACACACTGGGCTTGTTGGAGATTCCCCATGCTTGGGTCCCTCTGTTTTACACTCTCTGGAGAGAGCACAAGGGAAAATGCAAAACCTGCAGCAAAACAACAGAAGGCTGCAGCTACAAATGCAGAGAGACCTGTATTACAGCGAATGTGTGGAGGGTGTGCAAAGCACCTCTGCCTTGAGGAAAAATCCCTGGGGTGACCCTGCAGGGACACAGTTGCCTCCACCAAAGGGGTTTGGCAACCTCTATCCAGGAGGCACTGGGAGGTTTTCTCATTTCCTCTTCCTTCTCACAGCTCCCTTCATCAGCACTCCTCTGGAAACTGTGGATGTGCTGGTAGAGGACATCGCCAAGTTTGTCTGCATAGTGGAGTCGTACCCTGAGCCAGAGATTACGTGGACACGCAACAGCATTCCCATCAGGTAGGGAGCAGCCCAAGCCCTCTCTAGCATCTCCTTCCAAAACCATCAGTTTCTTTCATGATAAAGGAAATATCTGGAAGCATCAAAATGGGTCTGTGGCAGGGAGGAGGGTGAGTGGCTGTAATTATACAGGAGTCTGCATTCCTTAGGCAGTGATAGGAGCACCAGGGGGGTGCTAGTGGATTCACACACTTGACCTTGGAGACAGTTGTTTTTTGCTGCAAGCAGTGCAAGGAATTTGCTCTCCAGCTTCAGAAAATGCAATCTGCTCTGTTGCTCAATTTACGCATTTACTAAGGAGGAGGATGCTTTATAATATTTGAAAGGATTATTGCCAGACTTTTTGCCTGAGTGTCTGCAATGTATTTGGAAACTTTGCATGGAAGGGGTCATATCATGCCATTCTTGTTTGCTTCTGGTGCTGGATCTGACTGTAGGAAACTGTTTTGTGGTTGTCGTGTGTCATGCACTCTCAGATATTAACCACAAGTCATCAAGGTGCTACTGAAGAAGGAAGACTTGGAAATAACGTTCTGGAAGCTGCTACCACTGCGTTAACTCTGCTGCTGTAGACAGGTTCTTGCAAAGTAAACTGTACCTGATCTTCCAACTCTGAAATCACATAACATCTGACACATGGCTTCCCATCAGTTTCTCATTCCAGGTCACTGTTAGTGACTCCCTCTATAAGGGAAAATTACAGAACAATCCTTGTGTAACACAGTTAAGGCCCATTCTCCACAAGAGATGTCCATGTTAGGCAGATGGTCACCACAAGCACGATTCCTGAAAATCCAAAGAGCCCTTGAACCATTGGCTTGGGAGACTCCAAATAAACCAGCAGCAGAAGCAGGCCTTACTGCTAGGAAGACCCTTTAAGAACAGGGGAAGAGCAGATTGCTATACATATGCATGCTGGCCTTCAGAAATCTTTTTTTCGTTGCCTGCAACAGAACCTTAGCAAAATCCCTGTCCTAAACCTCTGATCCCAGCCTTGTTGTAGGATGGAGGTCTGGATTTCCATGGATGTTATTTCCAAATCAGGTTACTTTTCTCCTAATTTCTTCCATGCCTGAAAAGCAAAGCTGGGAGGGGAAGCCATTCATTCAAGACCATGGTGATTATATGCCTTTTCCTCTCCATGATCTTTAAAATTTCACTCTCTCTATGTTCTAAGTTCATATGAAAACTAGATCTTTTCTCACCCCGGTCCCCACTTCCAGAAGCCCAGCACAACTTTCTAAAACTCATCACACTCTCTCTGGGATACAGTGCACATTTCATAATATTGACCAAAAAGGAAAATACTGGTCAAAAAAGCTCTGCTGGTGAGGCCAGAGAACTCAGGTGCTTCTTCTTTTGCTGGGTCTTCTGAAGTAACATTAATAGCAGCAACTATTTCACTTTCCCAAAGTTGTGATGGCATTAAAAGTCAGTGCTGACCAATACAAAAGCTCAGACCAAAGACAGGGAGATAGACCAGCTGAAAATACTTCTGTTACTTTCCAAGAACACTGATGAAAATATTTGTACAATGGAAGAGGATCAGATTAATGGACTTTTTCTGAGAAAAAATAAAGTGCCTCTGTGTGTGTATATATCAAACTTCAAAGGGGCTTGTTATTGCAAGCAATAAATATCAGTTATTTTATTTAGAAAATTTTCTTCTCTTGCTAAGGTCTCAGTACTTTGAACAAAGAGCTACGCTAACCTTCGTAACAAAACAGCATGTAAACATTCAGCTTCAATGGGAACAGTGCCAGGACAGAAGCTCTTGTCAGAGCTATTCTTCTGGAAGCACCTTGGCTTTTGGCATCAAAACTTGTGCAGGTAGACCAGCCGTGCCCTGTGTTAAGTGAAATGGTTACCTGCCCCATTTCCCAGGGCAGGGCTGCCCAGTGTGAGCCTTCCTCAGGGAAAGAATGGAATGGAGCCTGAGTGTCTTTTACACAACAGATGAGTTAATTGTATTTTCTTCCCAGGGTGGAAAGATGAGGGAGATACAACAGTGAAAGTTGAAAGGCTGTTGAAAGAAAAGATATGCCTGTAACACCATAAATGGCACATTCTGATTACTTGGTGACTGCTGTAAGATTTTTAACAGTAAAAGACAAAACAGGACATACTTAGACATGAGGTAGTTGTGATAGCTTGGGAGACAATCCTCAGCGCAGATCCTTTTTGCTAACATTTGTCAGAATCAGAGGCCAATTGCATGAAAATGCTTCCAAAAAGCATCAACGAAGGTGTGAAAAATCAAACATGGAGGAATTTATGAATGCAAATCTTGTTCCACTAAAGTTTTGCTATGCTTCTCCAGTTTTGCAATGAAAATCAGAGATCAGCCCTCTGCTTTCTCACCACCTTTCCTTCTGTCTCTCCCTTGCTCTCACACATGTACACGCACACATCCCCCCACACACTGACGATACTCACATATAGAATTGGTCTTTGCTCCGCAGATTTTGTTACAATATCCCATACCTTTGTAGCTCCAGCTTCAGGGCTTTTCTTGACTTCTCTGAAGCCTCCAGATTAAAGCCCACTGTCATTAAACTGTAGCCAGCTTTGCATCCTCTAATCTTTAGATGTCTTTTTTTCTTCAGCACATTTCTTTGCTTGTTTGTTGGTTTGGCTTTTTTTCCAAAAAATAGACAAAACCACTCCTGGATGCAGACACAAAAGTACTTGGTTTTTGGTTTGCATCTTTTCTTCACAACAGTAAAAGCTTTCCATAACATTATCTGTTTAGTGAAAAAACCCTTTTCAAAAAAAAAAATTCTGAAGAAGGTTTCTTTAAAAAACATCAACCGGTTCCAGTTCCTATATGGGCTATCCTTTCTTTGGACTGAGTGATTATACCTAAAACAGGACCCAGGTGGTTGAGATTACTTGTGCTCGTACCTGTCCTTGGCCTGACAGAAATCCAACCGTGATACCTACTTACTTAAGCAATACCTGACTGGAGGAAGAATTGCCACCATGCTGGTGGCAGTCAGGAACTGCATGGTCTACTGAGGACCCAACCGAATCTTGAGTCCCAGCTCAACATTTTCAGTGCATTCCCTTCTCTCTGCAGGTTGAAGATAAAAAGCAAGACATATTGCTGTTTGTACTGCCATCGGTAGTCTGCAGATACAAATTCAATTCCCCCTCTCCGTTCTTGGCTGTCCCCTCATCCCTGACAATCTGTGCTGTGCCCTGCAGGCTGTTCGACACCCGGTACAGCATACAGAGGAACGGGCAGCTCCTGACCATTTTGAGCGTGGAGGACAGTGATGATGGGGTGTACTGCTGCACAGCGCATAACGGGGTTGGAGCAGCCGCGCAGAGTTGTGGGGCTCTTCAAGTGAAAATGCGTAAGTGAGAATGTAATTTGTTCCTGACATCACCTGAGCATGTAATTGAGATCCTGAGCAGACCCCCACCCCCCGGTATGGCTCCTGAGGGTCTGTGTTCAGGGCACACCAATGTTCTTATGGGGCTGGGTGCAGTCTCTGGAAGCAGAGACATGGCATACTGGATCTTAACTAAAAGCAGTCATCATTATTCACTTTGAACAGCACACACTTGTGCTAGGATCAGAGGGACTGTTTGCATGGCAGAGGATAAAAACCAATGCTTTGAAGAACGACCTTTGTACAGAACTTTGTAGAAACCGCACAATTTGATAGATTAGACCTCTGTAGTAATACTGCATAAATCCCTTCTGAATTTTAAACACAAGATTTCCCTAATCAGATTTATACCTAAGGATGGCAAAAGCAAGTAAATGCTGTTCAGATGTTCTTAGCAGTAATCATGAAAGGTCTGGAGCACTACGGTGCAAATGTCATCATCCCACGTGGAAGGCAGAGAACTGGTTCTTGCAAAGGGCTATATACGTGCTGAGCTCAGTGAAGCTGAACTCACATGGCTGCAATTATTTACATAAACACTTGAAAGGGTAGCTGAGCTATATCCTGGCTGAAGCATGAGGGTGATCCTCCAGGTCTGGTAATTCTGGGGCTCTCTTGCACCCCAGTTGCCTGCAGGTGGGAGCCAGGAGGTCATGCTTGCTGAAGGTCGTTTTTCTGCTGATTCGGTATTGTGCAAGGGAGGCAAAACATCAGATCTCTCCAAACATTGAGATGAAGATCTTTTTTACTCAAGCTCAGAGTAAGCTAAGCCATGTTTTTCTTTGGGTAAAATTAATGTAAAGTTGTCCCATATTAAGTTTAACGGAGTTTGATTGTTTTGTTCTTTAAGGATCCTTTCTCCTTTTTACTAGTGTAGTTTTAAATGCTTCAGTTAGGGACATTAGTTGAGTTTACCTGCCCTTCTTCTTGAGCTAGAGACAAGCCTGGTTTAAAACTATTTCAAAACTGGTTTACTGCAGATATGAGCTTTCACACAAGACACTGTTTATGCAGTGAAGAATGTCAAAACCTGGAATGCAAATGTTCTTCATTATTGGAAATACTCTTCTCTGGATTTGGATTTTAGTCCAGGTCCTAATTCAAATGACTGTCAAACTCCACTCCTGACAGCAAATAACCCATGCAAGTTAGGTGCTTTTGTGTCCATCAACTGAAACTCTGAATGCTGTGCTTAAGAAAGTTCTTTTCTTTCCAAGGCAGCTCACGACCTACTAAGACTGCTCTATCTTTCAGCAATGTACAGAAAAAGCAGCAGAGATTTTGTTGTCACTTCTGAACTTGGCCTCTTCTGGTATCTCTTAGCTTCAGTTCAGCTTTAATTTTTGACTTTTGAAATTTTAGGACCCAAAATAACGCGACCGCCCACAAATGTGGAAATAATAGAAGGGTTAAAGGCTGTTCTTCCTTGCACTACAATGGGGAATCCAAAACCTTCTGTTTCATGGATCAAAGGAGAAACAGTTGTAAAGGTGAGCAGAGAATGAAATTTAATTAATGCTAACTATTAGCTAAATGTTCTGTGTTAAAGTGTTAGCATCTATTACAGCATTTGTAAATTCTAGAAGCTAGGAAGCAAGCATTTGAAAAATCCAGGGCTCATCTCATAAATGTCTGCATCTGCAATAATTCTGCCTGCAAAACAAACAGTTTCTGTGTATCTATATTTTATACTATATGTATTTATTACTACTAAGCATGGCCAAATGCTGCTGAATACACTTGTGAGTGCTCTCAGAAATAAGAGCTACTGAGCTGCTTAGCTAAGATTCAGGTGGCTTTTGAAGCTGATGTGCAAACAAGGGTGGGTGTCGTGATAACACTCGGCAGGGGACCTGGCCTCAAATCCTTCAGCTGTAGGACAACACAAACAATTTACACGTGTGTAAACCCAGTCTTTGCAAGTGGATATTTGGTGCTGCTTCTGTTCAGCCTGTGTGTAAAGACCTCACCTTGATCTCTCCTTTCTCTGGCAGGAGAGTGCTCGTGTTGCTGTCCTTGATTCAGGGAATTTAAGGATCCACAACGTTCAGAGAGAAGATGCAGGACAATATCGATGTGTAGCCAAGAACAGCCTGGGTACAGCCTATTCAAAACCTGCAATGGTGGTAGTGGAAGGTGAGTAATGCTTGTATCGGCCTCCAGCTTCATGTGCCAGCTCCTGCAGTGTCACAGTGATGCCAATAAAAATGTCCTAGGGGGTGACCCAAAAGGCAGAGGAAGGGAAAGGAAAGGAAGCAGAGTGAGAAACAGAGCAAGTTTGTCCACAGCTGCTCCTGTTGCTGGCTGATGGTGAAAGGGACCATCTGTGGAGGGTCCTTGTCCACAGCTGCTATGGCTCTGGTAGTATATTTGCCTGAGTAAGGACTCCCAAATATGTTTTTCCTTCTGACTGATCGTTTCCAAGGTGCCATCTTGTTTCTTGTTTGAAAAGTTCCCCCAGACCCACAGGTTTACGCTATGGCTTCTGGAGATGGACAAGTAGAAAGCTGATGGCCCTAGAAACTTGCTGCAAAAAGCCTGATCAGAGAGAGCTGCAGCTGCAAACAGTGAAGCATTTTGCAGCATTATGTCCCTGTCCTATTCCTCTGATTTTCCGTCTGAATTGGTTGATTCTTCTAGTAAGCAGAACTTTTCTCTATGAGGACTTGAACATTTTCTCTCTGCTAAACCAAACACCGGATAGATTTTTCAGTTTCTGGTCTTTATGTCCTCAGTGTCTGTCTCTTATTTACAGAAGGTGTTTGCTTTGTGGTAGAAATCATCACCAGTTTCAGAGTGCTGAGACCAGTGGACTGCAGGGGAACTCAAATGTAGGCATATGAAGCACTCAATGTTCTTCAATCCTATAAGAGAAGCTGGATAAAGCAAGATTATGTGGAGTGGGAAGAGGGATGACTGATTTAGTAGAGGAACTAATTTTTATTTCTTATTCAGAATGACTGTACTGTGGAAAGTGGAGAAGGGTCTCCATTTGCCTAGTAAGCTTCAAAGATTGTTGTAGGTTACATTTGTCCTGGGACTATCATAGGTTACTTAGGGTGCAATCCCATTTCTAAGATGACCATTGACTTTCTTCTGGGAGAAGGATTGGGTGTATTAGATCCAGCTACAAAACACTGTAGGTCCGCTGTTTCCTTAAAAAAAAAAAAAAGACCATTAAGTTTACTTTTTTTTCTCTTTTAATATTTACATACTCAAACTTCAAGTATGTTAGAAATTCCTTAAATAGCTTTAAAACAGGAAGGCAGCTATTTCTAATCTAGATTCAGAGCTCTGTACTTTTCCTGAGCTGAAAGCGATGAGGCAGACTGAAGACACTTGGATCTCGCTGTGAACAGCTTGGGTCCCGGGTTTTGGTTGGGCCCTGTCATTGAGACAGTGGTCAAAGGCTTGTCAAGAATTAACTGTGAATGGCAAATGCTTGGTGCCATGCATGCAACACCCCCTTCCCTGCTGAAGGGCCTCAGTCACTGGGATTTTATTGCTCCGGATCTACCAGAGCCAGCTAGGGAATCTAGAAGTGGTCTGGAACCGCAAGAAAATCCAGGCTGCTAAGGTCAATACATTGTTTTGTCCCTGTCTCCAGAATTATGCAGCTGCTTGTTAATTCAAGGAGTGCTCAAATAATCTACAAATAACCTACTTGCAAAATAGAGCCTGTGTGTGCTCTTTTTAAAATGAGGAAGATCAGTTCTTAATTAATCAATGGGAGCTCAGTGCTCCCACACAAACTAACCCCTCATGTTCCATGCATGTGTTGGGTGAACAAAGCAATGCTGTTCTCCAGGCTTGCCTTGGTTTCTCTGGTAGGGCACCCACATAATATGCTTCGTTTCAGGCTGCCACCCAAACTAGACTGGTGAATGTTTGTTTCACTTATTTGGCTTCCAAAATCCAAATGTAATAATCCTACCTGCAGCTTGCTGTGTATACAGATCCGTTCCCCTCCCAGTATTTTAGATTAATTCTTATGGATGTTTGGCATATATACATGTGCACACACCTGTGCATGCCCACATGTATGCGCACACACACATGCATCCTCCTCACACACTTTTTTCATCATTATTTTTAGTATCCCTCCCCTCCTACCTCTCCTACCCTCTTAGTATCAGCATTTTAAAATAACTCCAAGTACGTAATAATCTAAATCTCAATGCAGGAGGTTCACACTTCAGTCAGTCTTCTTTGAGCATTCGCTATGTTCAGAAAACTTACATTAATATGCTCTTTGTTGCTCCTTTGTAATAACACTACAATATTTTTTCTTAAATCTTGGTGCTACTGTTCACTGGACTTACCACTCTGCATCGTGTAGCTTAATATTGAAACAAAAATGACTAAGCATGGCTGGTTAACTATGAATATTTAATCCTGAAGCAAATGCCCATTCAAAGAGCAGTGCAAATATTTATGCCTAGCTAAATCTAGATCAGGCGGGTACTGATTTCTGAAAGAGGCGTCTAATTTTCTGTTGTGAGCTTCCATTTTAATGGGTTCAGAGTTAGTCCTTCAATTAGTATCAGCCATTGTCCAAAGTGCAGAGTTGTCTAAGTTTTTGAAAGATTGACCCTCTGCCTTCTGCAGGCTGTCAGGCTCCTTAATGCATGTAGGGTCAGGCATACGCTTAAATGACTTGCTAAAGCTGAGCCCATAAACTACAGCAAGTCTCAAACATATAAAATTATCTATGCTGGATCCAGTCATTCAAACTTATGATAGTCTTGGCCCCGGCATTTACACCACTGAGGTGCCTTACAGTCCTACTTCTTGTCTGGTTTCAGCAAAACAGTTTGAAAAATGCTGCTATTTTGATTTTCCAAATATTTTTCTCCTTTCCTTGTTGGCTTTCCTCAACATTTATAATACTGGCCTCCATTTATTACTTTTAAAGCACAGTTTTAATATTTTTAAGCTTTATTATTTTTAAAGCAAAGTCAAAATAATCTGAGCAACGATTTTAGGTGTATATTCAGGTGCAGCCCTTGTTAGGAAAAAAGAAAGCAGTGGAGGCATTTCTGAGTGGAACTCAGATTTTTCAGTTGTTCCTGATTTTCAGCAGTGAATGGGGGGAAGGAGGTAAGGATCCCCTGGATGCTGGCCCCTGCATAGAATGATCCCTAGCCAGTGCAGCCTGCTTCCTCTCCTGGGGCATGTTTCAGGCTCCAGAGTTCAGGTGATGAACTAATGAACTCTAACCAGTTAATGAGCTTTAGTGTTCAGAACTGGGTCAAGATTTTAATTAAATAGGTTGAAAAAAGCCTGTCCTTTTGTGTTTTTCCCCAAGTTTGAGCCAAACCCACGTAAGCTAGACAACATGATGGTGAAACAGATTCTCTCTTTAAAAGTCATAATCCGTTAGGGGTGGAAACATGATCATAATGGACCTGACTACTAGGTCTGTGGGAAGAGCTGGGATCTTCACTGGGAACTATGCAGAGTCCATGGGCAGAACTGCCCTCACTGAAAGGCTGCCTGGGGTGCCTGGAGGGTGTTAAAAGGAGAAGCAGAGCATGAGGCATCCCCATGATTTAATACCAATGAGCAGGCACAGGAGGTGAGAGGCAGGGAAGGGACACAAGAGGCAAGCATTGACCAAGAGAGCCAAGCGAGTGACTAAGGAAGCTAGGTGACTGTCCTCCTGAAGGGGGGTGG